CTCAGCTCCAGCAACACTGCTTCAGTTTAAAAGGATCTACCATGAATCTTCATAACACTGGAGAAAACAAAGAATCCATTATATTAGGGATCTGTATTCCTGTAGCAGCTGGATCCCCCCCATTTTAGGTAAAGACTAAGAAAGCACAGAACAAAAGGTTCGTTCCCAAACAAAGAACTTACAAGTACTGTATATTCTAAAAGATGTTGTTATAATTGAGAAGAAAAAAAATAAGATTTCAAATTCCTTGGAGAGAAAGGTCAACACAGTATAAAATATTGAAATGGATGTGCCAAGTGTATTTGACAACATTGCAAAATAAGTTATGATTACCAAAGAGACTAGTTAGGTTTTGTTCTCAATTATGAAAAAGGTTATTACTGCTGCAGGACAAAGCAGAAAACATCTCTCCTGACCTGCAATTGTTTTTAACACAACGGTTAAGCAGAATATGTAATTCATCACCTTTTATTTCATGAGAGACTAATTAGATTCCATCTAATCTTAAAACTTCGTTAGCAACAAATTGTCTCACTTGATTTTCCTGTCATCTCTTTAATCATATCCCTACTAGAGGATTTCCTTGGTGTTATCAGAGGGTGTTAGGTATGATTCTAATCGCACATCTAATTCCAATTAATTTAACTCGGTGGAAATACTTTCCTTCTGTGCTCTGGCATTCTTGGTAGAGTTTCTGGCACTCAACACTTGCTGAAACTTTTGTAGTATTCAAGGTAGAATTAAATTCTGAGGAATGGAGAAAGGAAGAAGTACTAGATAGTTGGCTTTTGTAACTACCATTTTCCATGAAGCTGTGGAAGTAAACATACACATGTGGGAAAAAAAACGCTATTTTTTTCTGACCTGAATTGCATATAGTAAAATGAAGTAAGGCAGAATCGTTTCTTCACCTGCCCTCTTCCTGAATCATTCACTCTCTATATATATGATGAATGTGCTGGGTAGGTTCGCTGCTTAAGGTAGCACAGTATCTCCCAGAGAAAAATCTCACAGGATTTTCTGTGGGTCATGCACAGGTCACAAGAAGCTCTATGTAATTACAGGCACTGTACAGTAGCAACATTGGGACATTCTGACAGGACTAACTTGACTCACCTGACATGTGCTTTTGCACAGATTAACACAAAACTTTTGGTTAGCAGCAAAGCACTGCGGGTTATTCTGTCACCTTTAACCAAAACAAAGACTGTAGTTTTGTCTCTGTGAGTTTGAAGAGAACATCTCAGTCTATCATCTTTGCCAGCTTCCACTCGAATGATGGTTGGATAGACTCTATTTTAGGATGACTGACATCACAGGAAGTCATTACGTGCATGGGTGCTTGCTCTGGCAGTTTGGTAGTAGGCTTAGTCACAATGGGTTGATTCCGGCAGGCATGATTATTAACATCAACACATCTTAAGAATTGGCTTCCTAGTATAATATGGTGATGAAATCATGAAACAGCTGTGTCATAAATAGCAATTACATACAAATACCTCTCCATTTTTCAACTGCAGAGTATCAAAGGTACTTCATATGAAGATGTGGGCAAAAAAATACATCTGTTTTGTGTACCTTCTCTCACTCATCTTTTTCCTTCTTCTCCTTCCTGCTTTCTGAATCAGTAAATTAATTTCACTTTAAAAATACTGGAATTAAAATCTTCTGACTTGATATTTCAAATGTAAGTGTACAGAACCAATAGTTAATACAAGCCTGAGAGCCAGGAAAGCATTTCCAGCATGCTTTCAGGTATCTGAACACCCTTGCACATTTTCACTCTCAGAAATACATATTTGCATACATACACAAAATCTTATCTCTCCCAGCCCCAGGTTTTCTACATTATTTTCCTATTTGAGTATTATTACTATATTATTGTACCTGTTTCTCAAGGTGATTAAAATCCTTATAAAGAAAGGCTGGGAGAAAACATCCCTTTGTAAAGCTGGCAAGCAGGTTTTCATCCTCAGCAGACCAGTGTGTGCATTAGTCAGCTGAAGTTCACTGCTGACTCCACCTCAAGTTTCAGGCAGATGAACCAGGCCTGCAGAAATGCAGTGTTCTCGTGTTCACTGCCCCAAAACACTGATCAGAATTGCCATTCTTAAATGATGTTTTTCCCATCCTGTCAATGATATCTATAAAAGTAGCACCATTTGAATGTGCACTTTCCCCACACCTTTATCAAAATTACCTCCGGGTAGGAAGAATAACATCTCAGAACAAAAACATCTCAGAGTGAAACCTGACAGCGCTCACTGCATCAGAACCCATAAGCTGCTGGTAATACTACAAGGAAAATACCTTATTGCCACACTTTTTTTGTTGCACTAAACATATAAAAGGTGGACTGAGATGTTGGGTTCCTGTTTTGTGAAAGGACACCCCCATCCTCTTTCAGACACTAGCACCTCAGTTACATATGCCAGCAACCCTTCCTCTCCCTACTCATTTGCCCCAGCCTAGAGAAGCCTCCAAGGCCTCTGGAGAGATTGTTGTTAGGATAGCTGATGTCTCTGCCTCCAGAAGCAACTCTCAGACTTGAATCTTTATCAATATGACTGTTCAAAATGTGTTACTGTGTTTATAGGCTGCAGGACACTGAGGAAATCAGTCCTAATTGCTCCATTTTGCAAACATGAACGTTTTCTTTTATATTACCATGGAATCATATCCCAGCGGCTCTGTGAAGCCTTGTACTTTATCAGAGGCTGATGCCTCCCAAGTGACTCCTCAGAGGACTCTGTCCTACAAATTCTTTAGAACACTTTTAAGCAATTTCAAGTTTTAAAGAGAATAAAAAAGAAGACCTTGTTTGTCTTCAGTGTAAATGTCAAACAGCACTGACAAGTGAGGAATGGAGAGCAATGTTTTGCTATAACTCAGTACCACTCCATATGATACACTGCATGATAAATGCTAGGGTAGTAAAATCAGAGTATGTTCCTTGCTCCTAGTCATAGGTACTCCGTCACAACCCTTGCCTGTGAATGTATAAGTTCCTGCAGGTTTGTCCTTTTGGCTAGGTAGATTTTAAGGTTATTCATTAAAGACTCAGTTTTGATATCTTCTCAGATTTGAGACTGTTGTCCAACTGTTATGCTGCCAGTAACCACTAAAGAATGTTTAAATGGAGACAATTTTTGTAGAGACTATATACGGCAAAATACTGAGAAGTAAAAGAGCTGTACAAATAGAGCCGACAGAAGTAATTCAACCTGATTTACAAATAGTCACTTACTGACATCAAGAATGTTATTTCAAATTTCAATATTTGTTCTGGGGCAAAAACTAGCAGCCTAGTCATCAAAGAATCATGGGGAAAACAGACTTGGAAATTGCTACTTTAAATCTAATAAGAAAAGGGAAGAAGAGAGTTTGTGAGAAAATGGTAAAGACTGAAATCATTGGGTGTCCATTGTCATGCACAGTTTAGTCATATAACGGATCAGTCACATATTAAAACTGGAAAGTGTTATTCATTAAAGCAAAGTGAGTTTGAGAAAGCTTGCCGAATTCTTCACATGTATGCTAGAGGTTTTATTTTATACATGAGCTAACATGTAGGCTCTGTTACGCAGAATAGATCTTGAGGAGTGGTTTGGTGGGGTTTTTTTTAATCTTGTAAGGAATCTAATGGAAAAAAATACAAAGCTAAAAACAGACAGAAAACAAGCTTTCACACAAAACGCCACGATCCTTTTTAATCTATTAGCTAGACCAGAGAAACTGGAGTTTGAGAAAGTTAAGTATGCCAAACTGGCATTGCTCTCATCCCTCAGCCTCATAAAAAATCTGAGGTGAAAGACAGGGGAAAGAGTGTTGGCTGCACTTTTCTTGTCTTTTTCAGCTTGCTGTAGTTGAATAAAATCCCACATAGCGAAACTTCTAATGTACAATCTTACAGCTCACTTGCAAGCATTCTGATTAGTTAGGAAAGATTCAGGCAAAGAGCTGCCTTTTTTCCTCAAATATATTTCTGCTAAATCACTCTGCCTCACTGTTTCAGGACCACTTAGTCAGGACTGCTTAGTAAAATTTCTTTTCTTATAAAATGAACAGCCTTGGATCAACCTGAACAACTACTTTCCTCTTCAGCACTCATATGATTTGACTCTGTTAATCCATGGGCAGTACATACAAAATAAATTCTGCTTTGCCTCAGAGAATTTACTTTCCTATTTCCTTACATAACCCACTGTGATACCATGGCAGATTATGCTATTCTTCTCACATTCATGGTACAGAAGAAGAGCTAGGCAGTACCCAACCACCCATATTTAACAAATTCTGTAAAATTCATATGGGACATGGTAAAGAAAAAATTGCACCTCTATTTAGTTTCATAACTCCCTTGCCTGTAAAAGACTCACTTTTATGCCTGATTTTTAGAACTCGTACCTGTGTACTGTATCTGCTCATTATGCTTCTAGTAGAGTCTGAGTCCTAGAATTTCTCATCCTTGGAAAAGAGCAATGGGACTTTAGGATGAACTGATTATTCACTTCAGCTTGTACATCAGAATTCTCAAACAAAGGCAAGTGCAATTAACCAAATGGAAATGAGATTTTCTATGTTCCTTGGCAGTTACCACGGTTTCAAAAAATTTCAATTAGATATTCTACAGCTGTATATTTCTTAAATCAAAGTACCTTATGGAGAACTGTCAACTTTGATTAACTTCAAGGTTAGAAGTCAGGCAGGTTACCAGCAAAAAAAGTGCTTCCCAGACATCTTTTGTACTCCATCTTCTTTCCTGCCAATGTACTTGGCAAGGTAATAAATTGCTGAGAGACTGGAAGCTTTCTGATCTTTTATTTCCAGGTAAACCAACCAATGAAATGCCTTGGACCTGAAGCCCTTATACTTTTCTAGTCCTCAACTCCAGGAAAAATGAGCAGTTTTATTTCACTGAGATTTAAAGTTACTGGGAATGCATTCTGGAAAACCAACATGAAGTGAAATTAGCATCCTACTTGCACTACCTTTCATCTCTAAGATGAATATCTGTTCTCGAATAAGGCATCTGCAGGCCTATGCATTATGTTTGCATGGCAACGTTTCAGCACCACGGGAGCTCCAGGTGTGGATTCTGTGAGACGCTGGTAGAAGCTTTCCCCTTTTCCCGTGGGGTCAATGACAGCCGCCTCCAAATCAGACCCACTGCTGGACAAGGCCGAGCCTATCAGCAACGGTGGGAGCACCTAGGGGATAGGAGAGTTAAGAAGTGGGGGAACAAAACTGTGCAATTGCAGCTGAAGAGAGGAGTGAGAACATGTGAGAGGAACAGCTCTGCAGACACCAAGGTCAGTGAAGAAGGAAGGGGAGGAGGTGCTTCAGGCACCAGAGCAAAGATTCCCCTGCAGTCTGTGGTGAAGACTATGGTGAGTCAGGCTGTCCCCCTGCAGCCCGTGGAGGTCCACAGTGGAGCAGAGATCCACCTACAACCCGTGGAGGACCCCACACCAGAGCAAGTGGACATCCAAAGGAGACTGTGTTCCTGCAGAAAGCCCATGCTGGATCAGGCTCCTGGTGGGACTTGTGGCCCTGTGGAGAGAGGAGCCCAGACTGGAACAGTTTTGCTGCAGGACTTGTGACGCTATGAGGGACCCACCTGGTATCAGTGCGCTCCTGAAGGACTGCACCAGGTAGAAGGAATCCACAATGAAGCAGTTTGTGAAGAACTTCAGCCCATGGGAGGGACTCACACTGAAAAAGTTCATGGAGGACTGTCCTCCATGGGAGGGACCACACCCTGGAGCAGGGGAAAAGTGTGAAGAGTCCTCCCCCTGAGGAGGAAGGAGCTGCAGAGACAATTTATGATGAACTGACCACAGCCCCCATTGCCTATCCTCCTGTGCCTCTCAGGGTGAGAGGAGGTAGAGAAAATCAGGAATGAAGTTAAGCCCGGGAAGGAGGGAGGGCTGGTGGGAAGATGGGTTTATTTCTCATTATCCTGCTCTGATTTGACTGGTAATAAATTTAAGTCAATTTCCCCAAGCTGAGTCAGTTTCACCTGTGACAGTAACTGCGGAGTGATTTCTCCCTGTCCTTAACTTGCCCCACCATCCTTTCATGATATTTTCCCTCCCCTGTCCAGGTGAGGAGGGGAATGAAAGAACAGCTTTGGTGGGTACCTGGCTTCCAGCCGGGGTTAAACTATCACATCCTCATACATATTAATGCTATGAGCTGTTTCAAACTACCTAACAGAATGCTAAAGAGGTAGAAAGACTGTTTCCATTATCTCAATAATATATTTAAAAGTAAGGTGATTGGATTAAAAAAAAAATTAAATAAAACCCAACAGAAAGCCCATACGAAATAGGTTTTCATTTGATAAGCTGTCCATTAAAACCATGCTATAAGGAATCATTGACCATAAGGAAAAAGAAGTTTATTTAGCCAAAAACAATTAGGACAAAACTCAGTTCGGACTGATTGATATGCAAATGTCATGGATTGGAGACTATATTCATGGGCAGTGACCTTTTGGATAAATTAAGTTTTACTGGATATGAAAGAATCTCTCAGGGGAAGAAAAAGTACAGATTTTACTACTGAAATTATTCAGTGGCCTCTAGATCTAACTGTGATATTTTAGAAATGTAATGCACATATATTATAAGGATAACGAGGCAATTTAACTGGGTAAGAACACCTCATGCAGGTGGCATGATAACAATTTACTCTTTTTTTAGAGTTCAGAAAAGTCACAAACTCAGTGAATGTCTCCCAGAGCTGATACCTTTTTCCCAACACCTTGTCAGCTATAACTCTAATAAAACCTGGATATATTCAAAATTGCAAAATCTTTTGACAGATCTTTCCATATTTGAAATACCTTCCCAGATTAACAAAAATTCACAATTTCTCTTTGAGAGCTATGTACCTTCATACAGTGATTGTAAGTTTTGGTGACTACCTTTTTATATGTACTGTCTGCTTTTAAGAGTGCCTTTTTTGAGAATGTCCTGGAAGACAGTGCCAAAAACTCCTCAAGTTAAGTCAGGGTCCATAGTCACCCATTTCTAGTTCACCAAGCCAGACACCTTGTCAGGAAATTAGACTGTTTTATTATGCTCTGTTCTCAATAAACCCATTTTATCATCTTGCAAATCAAAATTAATAACATGAGCAGAATTTTTTCAGTTATCAAAGTTCAGAAAAAAAGCCAGAAATATATAGACCTTCTGCCTTTTAAAAATGCATAATGTTGATTCTTTTCCAGTCTTCCAAGACTTTCCTTGTCCTCTGTTAAATCTCCAGATAAGTGCTAGTGCTTCACAAACTACATTGGCTGCTTCTTTTAATTCCCTTATAAAATGCTTTTTAATATTGCTTTGCCAAGAAATTTTAGTACATCTCCATTAGCTAAATATACCTGAGTCTGCTCTTCAACTTCTTGTGAACTTATCTCCCCTCTATAACTATTTAGTTAAAATTATTCAATTGTCTTAAATTTTTGTGAAGACTGAAGTAAAGAAAAAAAATGAATTCTTCAACAATCTTTGCTTCCCTACTTATCTATTCTTTTCTTTTTAAAACAGCCCAGTACTTCCTTTGCTTCTCTTTTGTTTCTAATAGAATCTTTTCTACTTGTTCATCTTTTACTATCTGAGCACTACTATGCACCTCCACTTTTTCCATTCTTGAATTATGCCTTCATAAACACATTTTCACTTCTGATATGATATCTTTTTGATTTTTAAGTTTGCCAGTTTCATATTTATCAAAATAATTCTCTCCCTGCCAGCTGCATGGGTGTGTTGGTTTTTTTTGAAACCCATTCCCCTTATTTTGTTGCTATTCCTATGTAAAATCTTGCAAAAAAAAAAAAGGGAAGAAAATTAAAAATTCATAATCTTTAACCTACAGTTCTTTTTATTGTGATACTTTAATCAATTCCTTCCTATCATTCAAGACCACACATCTTAACCTCATACAATACCCTCCATAATTTGAACAAGACTTTATTATCAAATCATAGAAGGGTTTGGGTTGGAAGGGACCTTAAAGATTATCCAGTTCCAACCCCCCACCACCATGAGCAGGGATACCTTTCACTAGACCAGGTTGCTCAGAGCCCCATCCAACCTGGCCTTAAACACTTACAGGGATGGGGCATCCACAACTTTCTAGGGTAACCTGTTTCTGTGTCTCACCACCCACAGAGTTGAGAATTTTTTTCTAATATCTAACCTAAACCTACTCTCAGTTTGAAGCCTTTCCCCCTTGTCTTGTCACTACACACCCTTGTAAATAATCTCTCTCCCTCTTTCTTGTAGGCTCCTTTTGGGTGCTGGAAGGCCACAATTAGATCACCCCAAAGCCGTCAACTTTTCCAGGCTGAACAATCACAATTCTCTTAGCCTTTCCTCATAGGAGAGGTGCTCCATCCCCCTGATAAACTTGTTGGCCCTTCTGTGGACTCATTCCAACAGGTCAATGTCCTTCCTGTGCTGGGGACCCCAGGGCTGAATGCATTACAGGAGAGATGTGTGCAAACACGGCTTTTCAGAGCAGCTGGGTTTTGGCTATCCCACTTAGAGTAAGAGTCTACCTCGCACAAATACACTGCCATGCTGCAGAAATAACTGGAAAATGTTCAGTCCTGCATAATGCAAATCATACTCTGCATGGAATTACCATAGCTCCTTTCTGGCATCAGTCTCATGGGTTGTGCTTGCTAGAATCTGAACGCAGAAATAAAAGTCTCCAGAGTTCATTTATGCAATGTTCCTTTGTAAAGCTGCAGAAAATATCAAAGGAAAAATTTCCCAACTTCTGAAAAACCATAAAATTTTGAAAATTAGGTTTTCTTCTTTTGGCAATGATGTCTTAAGTTCCATCTGTTTCTTTGTTTTTCCTAATTTTTATAAGCTTTATAAGCAGTTATATAGTAAAAGTAGATTTAGAAGCAGCAGCATTTATTCCTTTACCCTTTGCATAGTAAGGGTATCAACCCAACCGTATCACCCCATTCCATGCTCCCCTTATCAATTCTACCCCTGAATTCCAGTAGAAATGTTTACTCTCTTGTCAGAGTAGTCCTATTTTGTTTAGAGAACACTTGTACCTTGGCCTAAACCACAAAAGTACAGTCAAGAACTGGGTAAATATATGCCCCCTGTACTCTGAGGAAGATGATGATTGATGAAGAGAGGGTCTCAAAAAAACCCCATCCCCAATTCCCAGGGGGCAGACCGAGGGTGGATCAGGGCAAAAGCCACAGGGTGGAAATGTCTGGGATTGGACAGACAATATTGCTGGGCATTGCTCCAAGTAGGGAGCTGATACTTGAAAGAAGCAAAACAAAATTAGCTCCCATTCTGCTGAACTGCGCAGGGACTGACTGAAAAATAAGTAGAGCCTAATAGTGTACCTTCTAGAAAATCACTCTCCCTTACAGTTTGTTTAACAGGTTGGTTTCGTTGGTCTGGTCTAATTGGGTTTAGCTGTGAGTACCACTTATTTGATCTGCTGAGCAGGCACTGCTCTGGTCTTTCAGCTTTCTGGCCCTGCTGCCCTACTGGAGGTCAGCCAGGATATACTCAAGGCACCTCCTCCTGAGGTAATGAGGCTATTTGGGATGTTTAAAACCCAAATCTGGTTAGTTGCAATGGGGAAACCATGCACTGAACAGTGATGAAAATCAAAGTATTTTTAAGCTGTGGATTTAGCTAATATTTTAAAAAAGTATAGTCATTTCTGTTGTGCACCTTTGTACATCAGAGAGTACACTGACTGCGACCACAGTCCATAGAGAAGCTGTCTGGGTTCATGCATGTAGAACTGGAAAATATGCCTGTAGAAAAAAATGTCATTTTCCCTGAGCAGCAGGTAATCAGCATTCAGCAACAGCCTTGTCTCAGCATGAAGCCTGATAGGAAGCAGAGTGTCATGGCAGAGAAATAAGGTAATTGAAAAGAAAAATGTTTCAGTATGCAGGACAACTTCTGACAGTCTCTCTGAACTAAAAAACTTACTGGCAGACAGTGTCTGACAGTGTCTTCTGTCAATGGAATAGGTTGGCCCTGACCCTCTTCAGAAATTGAGACACATCAAACAAAAGACAACAAGACTCATTCTCATTTCAGCTCACAGCTATTAATTTTACGGTGTGACTCCTCCAAATAACAGATGCATAGCCAGAGCTATGCCCAGATTCCAAGTGATGGGAGACCAATTTCCACCACCTTGA